TTCCATTTGTTCCCACCTCTAATACAATGTTTCTCAACCTTTTATTTTCACTTCAGGACGCACTTGTTTCACAGCTAAAACTCTAGGACGTACTTTAACAAAAAATAATCATGAACTATGATAATAGGAAAACAATAAAGATTCCTGAAATAAGCATTTATTTTTAAGTCATCTCATCGTATATTTAAGTCTGCTTGTTTGAAACCTGTGCTTTGGCAAAGAAGAAAATTACCTGTAATAGTATTAGCAGTAAAAAAGGTGTTTTTGTCAGCACACCCACGTTGCTTCCGAATGTGACAGACAGTCGAGGTTTAGAGAGGGTTTAACGTCAATACTGTACAAAAATTGTCCAAGCTTCCCCTTTTGGGGACGGCCTCAAGCGCCGGATAATAAACCATAAACTATTTTTTAGAGAGACCGATAATGGCTGATTAAATCCCTTGAGGAAGGCAAAAGGATAAGGATTATCCACTTATTCTTAAAGATTAACGAATACAGCACCTAGTTTAAAAGATTTAGATATGGAAGCCATGTTCTTGATGTCTATTTATTTTAAAGAATGATTTTTTTTAAATAAAAATAATGCATAACTTGCTCTTCTGTGAATCTGGGGTGCACATGGCAACCTTTTAGGGCGTATTATTTGCGCTCGTGCGCACCGGTTGTGAAACTCTGTTCAAATTCATTAATGTCTATCGTCTCCAAAATGAGATTAATGGACAGTAATAGCTTAATTAAAAGTGGTTCGTAAAGTTTTGTCTTTTATTCATGTTACTCATTTGCTATCGTAGATGTTACACATAGAAGAATAAAAAACACCGTGTAACACGATTTTTGTCCTTGGGTGGCAAATTTTATTTCTTATTTGCTTCCGCCTAGAAATTATGAAAATGGCTAATATTTCCTTCAAACTTTGCTCTGGCGACCAGGATAAAGATATTTCTGAAATTTACCTATTCTCCTTGCGAAAAATAGCGAATGTGAACATTCTTTTTCACACAAAGTAGAAACAAAACGACATGATTCAAAAGTAGATTACACAAGGAAGATCAAAAATTTAGAAGTGAGTAGTTTTTTCGATTTATTCTGTAAATTAATTTTACAAATCAGCCCTCAAATATAGTCTTCCATCATGTTTTCGTTATAAGATCCTTTGTAGCGTCATTCAAAGAACAGTATATCCGGGTGGAAGCGCTCGTCTTGCTCCTTTGAGTTCGTCCTCATGTTCTCCTTGAATTTATCAAGGATATGGATTTGAACATCCTGCACTACTCAGTTATTCTCGCGAGACAAGCTTGTAATGGACACCGCCTCGAGGTGCCCAGCACCTATCTATAGAGCCAGTTCATTGGTACCCCACTTTTTCTATATATGTGAGTTAATCGTCCAATCGTCCATATAGTTTTTTTTTATTACATAGCAATTTTAGGAAAATATATAACAAAGTGGAAAAAAATTGTGAGACGTGTTTTGTTATTTAGGGTTAAAGTCCGATGAATCCCTAAAGGACGAAACGCGTCATACGAAAAAAATTTCCCACTTTGTTATAGATTTTACTGAAATTATTCTGATATATAAAAGTACATAGCAGTTAAGCATTCTTTTTGTTCATTTCAAATGAATTTTTTTGGTAAATGTTCTGATCAACTCTCCTCTATGGTACGTAGACTTTATGAATTTAAGTGCAGTACTAGATTGGCGGCAAGGTCTCATCATTTTACAATTGAAACGTCTAGATGTAAGCGGAAGTTCTATGTTAAAAGTTTCTTCTCTCATCCTTCTAGCTTGTGTAACCCTATTTCTGCTTTCCTTTCATCTACGATCTTTAAAAGTTTAACTGAAACATTTATCGTCATCTTCTGTCTTCCTGAATCATGTTCTTTTATTGTCATTTCTTCTCACTTTTGAACTTTGTCGAGGGTTAGCAATAAGGTTTGGGCATCACCACAACAGTTATGGCGGCAATACTCCTGTCTTGGATTGATCTGACTCTTGTAATGATAACACATGGCAGCAAGAGTTATGTATACAAAGAGCCGATCATTCTTCTAGCCTATTTTGCGATGGTACAAATAAATGTGTTCCATTTGAGGTCAGACGTGAGCTTTAGACCAAGCAGGTGTTCGAAACGAAGAATTCTTTTTAGGGCGCATAATCATTCATCAGGGTTGGTGTATGTTTAAGTGCTGCCGAAATGTTACCAGGTTAGATTTGGATGTATAGAATGATAGCAGCTAGTCTTTCCCCCGTTGAGCTGTGAGATTTAGGTCAGAAGAGAGATCAGCTGCCAGGCACTGTTCATCAAGGTATTTGAAGAGTGATGCCAGCCAGTGAGATGTGTCTTAGGTCAGAGCAGAGATCAGCTCTCAGACACTGGTCATGAAGATATTTGGAGAGTGATGTCACCCACCCTTTTTCTTAGGTGAACTTCGAGAGTTAGATCAGCTGCCAGGCTCATACACTGTGGTATCATCTGCATATATATTTCCCCAGAATCTGAGAGATTTCTTGAGAAGAATGTTGATACATAGCAGAAAGGGAGTAGGGCCGAAAAGAAAGCCTTAAGAGACACTTGGGTTGATTTGTTCATTGTTCCTCTAGTGCTTCATGCATGACTTTTTCTTTCACAATGCGTTCGGGTCTTTATCTGACGTTGTACTTGGTCCATGTGAATGTGAAGATTTGCATAACAGACCTGAATGTAAATATATACGACTCCTGAAAGTAAGTTGTCAAACATTTAAAATTAAAAAAAAAGAAAATTTCTTAAATTTTTTTTTAAGTAAACTGGATTTGGGCTCGGTAATTCATTTCTGTTTTACACTGGATATATTTTCAAATAAATACATCAAACATTTTCTATGTTTTTTTAAATTAGTTGTGACAACTCAAGGAGCGAGTTAAAATAAAAAAATCCACAAATTTAACTTGTAATGTTGTAAAAGATGTAAATGTGACATGCGGAGACGCATGGAAATAAAGAAAGATGCCTTTTAGAAACTAAGCAATATATTAAGAGAATATTCACATTTAGCTCGAAACATAGAAATGAGTTCTGAACTGCTGTGTACTATAAATGCAGTTATATATCACAATGAATTCTGGTCAATTTTCTCACAGATAAAGAAGCGATTTAAAGCAAAAACGGAGTCATGATTCTACCGACGCCTGCTGAGAATATAAAGGAATATAGGTCTTAAAGAAAATAAGAACTAATATGGCAAACAGCGAGTAGCATAACTTATGAATTTATGCGAATGAATGGCAGAACAGGATCAAGGAGTGATGGTAATGGCTAAACACTCCGATGAAAGGCAGGAATTTGTAGTGAGCGAAAATGGTCAAAGTTCATAAAAGAAAAATGATTTAATATCTAAGAAAACAAACATGAAACTAATAAGAAACCAATTATAGATCTGTTAACTTATTAGTAATTTGTTCTTGATCAGAGACTTTTACCTTTTTCTTTTTATTGATTTTCAATGTATTTCTGGAGGAAAATCATTAGCAATGCATTTCTAATCCATATCTTTGTCACTTTAATTCTTAACACAAGACGTGCCTTTTCCTGATTGATTTTAATTTAAAGATTACTGAGTGTGAAAGAGAATAACAAGACTTAAGTGATAAGAAAGGACAATAAAAAAACGGGTTTCTGGAAGACAGAAGATGACGATTAGCATTGCATTAAAAATTTTGATCATTGTAGTTAGCAGGGAAGCAAGAAATCGGAAGGGACTTCAACAGCAGAGAGAAGAAACTATTAGAATAGAACCTACGGTTGTATCTATCTAGTTCAACAGTAAAACGGTGAGACTTAGTTGACAGTCTAGTAGCACGCTTAAATTCATGCAATCGAGGTACCAAAATTCAAGAACAATTGCTATGAAATTATTAATGCTAAACGCGCAGACTGAGTGTTGAAAGAAACTTTTAGAAATCTTTGGATAGCCATCAATGCTTTATGTTTCTACTGCCAGAACGATTTATTTTTTTTTTTTACTCAAGAAAATCATTAGATCCTTTGTTAGCGCAAAAATGACCAAAGCTAAGCTAGAGATTGATGATGTAGTGGTAAGACCGCTGGGGAGCCATGAAGCCCCTCCCCTCACTAAACCTTCTGGATCAACTCTAATATACGTCTCCAGTATCTGCCGTTCCACTGTACATATAATAAATAAACATTTTGATATATTTGTTCAAGGAATCCTACCGTGATAACACGGCTTACAAAAACAGCTAATAAATATCACGACAGGATCCTTAACGTTGTTATACTCCAGCTGAAAACTGCATTATAGGAATAAAAGCTAGAATGATATTTTTTTCGTTCCTTATTGATTACTTTATCACCTGTATGAAAGACAATGGTATAAACTCTTCTTTTTAACACAGATTTGCCTTCTGCCTTCTATTGTTTTTGTAGAAAGCATGAACATTGCACAGATCCTGGAGGCAAGGCTTTGCAAGATGTTTCGAAAAGCCTTCCCCTCTTGAATATAGTAGTGGTAAACATGACAAATAGCATGCAAACTTTCTTTTGTGATTTTCATTGGAATGGAAAGGTGGCAAAATTAGAGGCAAATTGAAAGTGAAAGTGAAAGTGAAAGTAAGGTTCATTTTAGATTGAAAGGCTCAATGAAAATGGATAAAAAATTTAAAAAAATGTTGCGTTAATAAGGAATAAGAGCATCCCATCAGGTTAACGAGATTTTGTCTGTCAGCGAAGTGGATTATCATCAAAAGGCAGAAAGATCGGATAAGAGGATTAATTTAACTTACTTTGATCATTGTCTTTCTTTCTTTCTTTCTTTCTTTCTTTCTTTTTTTCTTACTTTCTTTCTTTTGGATTGTTATCGTTTCTTTCCAAAGAATGATTAGCATTTTCTATTGAAATGAACTAAAATGATATGTGTTTATCTGTTTATTATTCCATCTTCATTAGTTAGTTCATTCACTGCTTTTCAATTTTCCTACAATAAGACGATTCCTATTGTATCATGTTATTCGCCTTCTTTTTTTCCTTCTTTCATTTCTACCAAATCATAGGTATGACGATAAACTATGATACATCCAACAGCAAGACCCCTGATCGGGGGAGTGGAGGTTTTGAGTTGCGTGGGTCACCTCTTAATTGCTATTGTTCCAAGGCCCATCCTGACCCGGGGTGGTAGGACTTGTTACATCCCAGCTATGGGAACCCCCAAACAAAACACTATGGAAGTATAAAAGTACATTTTATAGTAAAAATACCATCAAGACAATTTTATGTAATATAATTAGCAACAATACCTATTTATAGTAAAATTAGCAACAATACAAAGTAAAATGACCATGAATACATTTTATCTGTAGTTGAATTTCGTTCAAAATATATTTTTGAAGCCATAAAAAATGTTCAAATTATTTAGATTTCAGCATTAAATAACCCATAGAAGTATTGATATGCCGCTAAACAAATTCAACCAGCCAACCAACATGAAAAATGTTCATGACATTAGACCATATAATATCCGAAAATTTCTTAAATCAAACTGTATTCGAAATATAACTTCAAAAAAACTACAACATAAAACGCACATATCACTGCCTTTGGTAAACATGACTACACAAACCTCTATGCACAAAAGCTGAGTATCATCTACCATGTATTGAACTGTGAAAGTAGAATAACATATATTTTTATTACTTTAAAGCTCCCAAGAAAATTACATTTCAGCATTAAATGACCCATAAAGAGTTGATATGCCGTTAAACAAATTAATCATTTCTACTAAGATTCCTTCCTACATTGATCACAGCCTCCCTCCAAGCTTCCTATCTATACTTTTCGCCTGTTTTCTTTTATTCCTTGGTCTAAGCCTTCATTAAACTCCTATGAACTTTCGCCTTATTTCTCACCTTCCTCCACTGATTTAATCTTTCATGCTTTTAACCTCCTGTAAATAAAGACAAAAGGAAAACTTATCTTAGCCGACGCGTTTCGTCTTCTGAGGGAATATTTCGCCTTCTTTCTTTCGTTTCTTTTTTGATATAAGCCTTCATTTCTCCCATAAACATTCGCCTGATTTCTCCCTTTATTCCATTTATTGCAGTTTCCTTCCAGGCTTTTAGCCTTATTTTCTATATCTTTCGCCTTCTTTCTCTCGTTTCTTTCTTTAATTTTTCCTTTTGTCTTATTTCTCCCCTTCTTTCATTGATTGCACTTTCTTCCGTGCTGTTAGCCTTATTTTCTATACTTGTCACTTTTTTCTTTCTTTTTTTCTTTAATTTAAGCCTTCATTTCTTCCATAAACTTTCGCCTTATTTCTCCCCTTCTTTCATTGATTGCACTTTCTTCCGTGCTGTTAGCCTTATTTTCTATACTTGTCACTTTTTTTCTTTTCTTTTTCTTCTTTAATTTAAGCCTTCATTTCTTCCATAAACTTTCGCCTTATTTCTCCTTCCTTCATTGATTGCACTTTCTTCCGTGCTGTTAGCCTTATTTTCCATACTTTTCACTTTTTTCTTTCTTTTCTTCTTTAATTTAAGCCTTCGTTTCTCCCATAAACTTTCGCCTTATTTCTCCCCTTCTTTCATTGATTGCACTTTCTTCCGTGCTGTTAGCCTTATTTTCTATACTTGTCACTTTTTTCTTTCTTTTCTTCTTTAATTTAAGCCTTCATTTCTTCCATAAACTTTCGCCTTATTTCTCCCCTTCCTTCATTGATTGCACTTTCTTCCGTGCTGTTAGCCTTATTTTCCATACTTTTCACTTTTTTCTTTCTTTTCTTCTTTAATTTAAGCCTTCGTTTCTCCCATAAACTTTCGCCTTATTTCTCCCCTTCTTTCATTGATTGCACTTTCTTCCGTGCTGTTAGCCTTATTTTCTATAATTGTCACTTTTTTTCTTTCTTTTCTTCTTCCATCTAAGCCTTCATTTCTCCCATAAACTTTCGCCTCATTTCTCCTCTTCTTTCATTGATTTCAGTCTTCCATGATTTTTCGAATTTCTTTCTGTAACTGTCGTCTTCTTTCTTTCTTTCTTTTCTTCCTTTATTTAAGCCTTCATTTCTTCAATAAATGCTCGCCTTATTTCTCCTTTCAAGACAGATGCATGGAGGGAGCTTTTATTCATTCATACACAACACATCTTCTGCAAAAGATCTGGTGGAAACCATTACCCTCCAGGTCAAAGTACACCCGACGTCCTCCAACTTGAAGGCTCGTAGACGTGGATTCCATCGGCAAAACCCTCTACTCTGGCTGTTGACTTTAATCTAAGGAGTCCTTCTTCTACCGATGCTGTTTTATTTACCACCCTGGCACCATACATATCTGTGGAGCTCAGTTTTCTCCATTGTGCCTGGTGGCCGTTGACCCGACAAGAAGATTCATCCACTCCAGTTGATTAATTTCTTAAGAACTCACATATGAGTGATTTTGTAAGCATATAAATATTGAGAGCATCATTACCCAGCGTATGAATGAAATGAGTTTTCTTTTTAACAGATCGTTTGAAGGCCATTTGATATTGCCAAGAAAAACTGAGAAAAATACTGTATCAAATAAATATTTACAGCTGGCAGTTCTTGTAGATTGAACCCGTCTTGTTTAAAGTCAGAGGGCGAAATATTACATTAAAATAAAGAACATTATTTATAATGTTGAGACTAATCTTTGTTACTATATTCACGGCCTTTCGGGGTACATTGTTCCAAAGAGCTGTAAAATAAACGGTTAAGTTTGAAATTTCAATCACCTGAAGAAAACTTGAGCGTTCAACGGCCGAAGCGTCTTGAATATGGTAACGAAGATGAGGACAACAGTCGAAACAATGTAAATAATGAACATAATTACAATACCCCATCTAAAAAATATAGACAGATAAAATAAAGAAATTGTTTGGTTTGTTTAACGGCACGTCAACTCCTTATGGGTAATTTTGTCCATATGGAGTTGATATGCCAATAGCTGGGACCCTAACACGTTCCAGGTGAATCTGAGAACAACAGCATTTAAGAGGTGGTTCCTCGCTCTCAAAACCTCTCGATCAGAGGCCGTTCTGTCGAATGAAGTTTATCGTCATACCCAACGTCCTGAAGGAACATGGCACATACATATGATGATGATCCACTGCATCTTCACAGATGATGGCCGACTAATCCGGTTCGCTCCCCGTTTCGCACCTCTCTCGTACATGATCCCGAAGGTGATTTGCCAGGCCAGCTGAGGACTTGCATGACTTGTTACACAGGTGGCAGACAAACAATGTACTTACCACCACCTTGATGGATTCACACCGCTGCACCCGATTCCTGTGCACCACCATGCTTACATACATACAAGAAGAAGAAGAAGAAGAAGAAGAAGAAGAAATAGAAGGGTCGGTTCATAATGAGGTATAAAAATTAAACATTTAAATTTATTAAGTTTCAGTTGGTTAAAAATATATTTTGTTAATTTTTATTTAATATGAAAAACAATTGCTGTGATTTGATCCTGCAACATTTTAATGTAGATAGCATGGATAACACAAAATGTAGCGCCCTTGTTTGAGAACTCTCATTGGTCAAAATAATTTTGAAGCCTCTATGTTTATACAAAATCTCTGTAGGAAAATAAGTAAGGTTTGTTGTAGAGCTCTCCTTTCTAAACATTAATCCAGATTCAGAGCTTGCAAGAGGGTGTGTCTGGAAACAACAGCAATTAAGAGGTTCCCTAAAACCTCCCAGTCAGAGACCTTGCTGTAGGATGTAGTTTATTGGTATACCCAGGACGAAAAGAAATTATGCGAAATCTTTGTTAAATAGTTGACTCGTTTCTCTAATAGTTCTGACCAACATACGTCCTTACACGATTTGTTCCGCACATCCCCTCCCCTGATTCTTGTAACTCTGTACCCTTGACAATTCGGATCACAGTTTGGTATCTATTGATATTTATTTCAACTCAGGCACGAACAACCTGTTTTTCTGTTTACCAGCGTACTGGTTGGAATTCATTTCACAATTTTCTTTGCGATTGGAGTGAAATCTTTAGTCTTCCTATTGAAAATTGTGCTTTTGAAGTTTCTTGTTGGATAAAAGTAGCCATCGAAGCTTTTGTGTCTTCTTGTAAATACAAGATAAAACAAAAATCTACCTTCGATCACATCTACCTGTTCAGCCTACAATAATTACTGTACTAGCCTGGTAGCGCTGATCATAATATATATCTCTTTGTATTTGTTTTTTTTTTTCCTGCTAGCCAACCGAATTTATGAAGATAGGTTTAAAACGGTCGCATCCCTCAGACAGAAAAAAAATTGCAGAAAGGCAAGAAATCGAGAACAATGAAAACCTTTCCAGATTTGAAATGTCAGATGGGAATCAGCCACATATCGATCCCCTCCCATTGAACGTCACAGAGAAGATTGTCAAAAATAGGCGAACTGTATATTCAAAGAAAATATAGTTGGTTCATTAACACCCTTAATTAAGATTGTTTTTGATTTCAATTAGTATTTTATTCAGCGTCAATCGGCTCTTTTCAGGGTTACGTCGTGCAATGATTACTAATAATTCAAAGTATTACAAGGTAAAAACCTTTTTTGTAAAGTCCTAGAATTGGGCAATCTAGTGCCTAAGTATATGTTATCAATGTTTATCTTGTGTTTCGAATCATTTTTCTTTTATTTTGAAAGAGCTGTTTAACAAGTATATCTGAAGAGAAGCTCGTTAAATTAAAAAATAATTTATTAAAACAGTGTTAATGGTTTAAAAATCTCCAACACAATACATTTGTACTACTGATTTAATATTACTTATTATTTATTCATTATGTAAAAATCTGTAATGATTCAATTGTAACTATTTTTACACGTGATTGGTTTGTTGTTTTTTACGGCTTATTAACCTTTAGCAGGTTATTTGAAGCCAGAAATTATTTTTAGATTGTAAGTTTCTTAAGATAATAATTACTAATTAACCCATATCTGGGAGGGGAGAAAATGTAGATTCATACCTTTTCAAAGGGTATTTGCGCGGAAGTGAATATAACGAACCTAACTAGAACTGGCACTCAGCACACCGATTTCAAATTCTGAGCCATTATCCATTACACCACTCGCACACCCAAGCTTACAGCATAGAATGGATAAGAGAAAAGGAAATTAGTGATATTAAAGGGTAACACTTAATTAGAGCAATAAATGATAAGAAGTCGTGGGGACAAGCGGTCACCATCTAGGCACTGAACAGGCTCAACGTTGCTTAACTTCGGTGAACGTACGAAATCGGTGTTTCAACGTGATGTGGCCGTAAGTCTTATTTATATACTTGTAATTTATTGTGAATTATTAAAAGGAATTTTCTTTAAATCATGAAAAGATGTCAGGCCAACTATTCATTTTTTTCACCTCCATTTCTTTAATCGTCTTTTATCATTGTTACCACCATGTCGGGAAATGAAGTAAACACATCCACATCCACATCCACATCCACATCCACATCCACACACACACACACACACACACACACACACACACACATATATATATATATATATATATATATATATTTGTCTATTGTTTTCTCTTTATTTTGTTTGTCAATAAAATATTAAAGAAGCAGCAGAAGAAAAGACTATTAATTGTAATAAGACGAATACATTGTCGGCAGCAAAAAAGACATCTTAAATTGTGAGTTATATATTTGGGCAAATCAAAATCAAATACAGTAATTAAACTATCTGGTAGTAACAGACAGCAGAAAATGTGACATAGAAAAGCTAGGCGCAATAGCCTTTCAGAAATTAAGTCAAATACCAGAAACAAAGAAGAGTGGTGAACTGTTATGCAATATCAATCTACTATATGGCATTGAATGGGTGAACCTCTGGCGCCTCATAACCAGCTTCTTCGGGTAGATGGAGCTCGACAGCGCAGGGAGACAGTTCATCCAGAAGCCTGATTTTAAACCTCCACCCTCATGCGGTCACATTCAACCACAGAAAATCCCATGGAAGTAAATCCAGATACCCCCCCCAAAAAAAAACGGAGTGTAGCCGCGAAAGTAGTTGGCTGTCAACACTGATAGCTTTCAGGAAACTTCTTCAGTCAAGCCGACTGCAAATATATACCCTGTATTTCTTTGGATCTTATCAGTACGACAGAAAGTGTCGGGCATGTACTCTGAGAAACTCCATATATCATTGTCCAGGCCTGCACCCAGAAAAATGGATAACAGAAAAGGAAATGAGTGATATTAGAAGGTAACAATTAATTAGAGCAATAAATGATAAGAAGTCGTGGGGAGCCGTGATCGCCGACGTTCCGAAGACATCTAGCTCCTAAATATAATCAAGACGACGTTCGTCTAGATAAAAAAATCTCTTGTCATAATTTCAACCCGATTTTTTTAAATATAAGCAATTCATCGTCCGGTTCAAACTCCTCCCCGGTCTTTTGAAATATGGGATTTATTTTTTGTTTCCTGTTTAGGATTGCATTTCCGGTTCTTACTAAATTCTATATAAAATATCTAAAAAATGAAATTTTATTTTTTTGTCATTTTTGTCAGTAGGAGTAGATAGCTTCGCCTATCGTACGGTTCACACTCCTCCTCGTTCTTTTGAACAGGAGTAGATGTTTATCACCTGTTTCTTGCTAAGAATTGGGCTTCCGGTTCCTTTTAAAACCTACTTCAATTGTATACTTCTAACGTCTCCGCCTAAACTCTGAAATCTTATTTGTTATTTTTTTCTCATCAATACTTCTCAAGTATTTGTTTTGAACACGAGTAGAAATTTATCCTTTGTTTTCTATTTAGGATTGGGTTTCCGATTGCTTCTAAACTCTTCTATCTAAACTCTTTCACTTCCAGTAGCCCCTTATGACTTAGTGGCATTATCACCTTACTTGGAATGAATTGATTAATAAATAAATAAATAAATTCTTTTGCAAAATATTGTTAGATGATGATTATATCCAAAAGGCAAATTTTCGTTAAACATATCTGAGAGAACTGATTTCCAGTTGGCTCAAAATGAAAGTAAGCCTTTATCTCGGGAAAAGTTCCTAAGAGAGAAAACTCAGATTAAAGTTGCATTGACCTTGGTTGAAACAAAAGAAAATTCGACTCAAGAAAGACGTGTATAAAACAGAACCACATTATATATATATATATATATATATATATATATATATATATATATATATATATATATATATATATATATCGACTGAAAGAACTTTCATTTACGTGGTAAATTATCATCAATAACTTTTTTCTGTTTCCCAATAAAAACGAGCCTATCTCTATTTGTATTCTCTTGCGGCTAATAGGCCTTAATATTCTCGGAGATTATTTTTTTAAGATAACGTTTTAGCATCAGTGACAGCAACAACAAAAGCTGGAACGAAGATTCGGGGTACGCTAAGTAATCGGCAAGCGAGTATTGGGTGTCTTTCTTTTTATCAATGTCGTTAGCTTTGTTTTTGTTATGGATCTTGTTATGGATCTTCCTTTTTGTCTTTTTCT